CTACCTGAAGGTGACACACAACATACAACAACTGTTATATTCCCATATCCTGCGCTGATGACCCAGACATGTCTTGGCTTTGATTTTTAGACCTGACTGTTATCTCCATCTGTCAGGTTCACATCCTCCACCCTCCCTATGTACCTGTGAAACATCGCAGCCTCCTGATGGAGTACATCTCTCTGGCCAAGACTAGGCTGGCAGACCTCAAGGTAGAAATAAAGAAAGATTTGAAAAGTGCAGGACTTTAATCTCCATGCAGCATTACTGCATTATGTAGATGTTTTCATATTTAAACTAAATAACAGTAAGTCTGCATAATGACTAAATAATTATGGTTAGTGCCAAGAATCATGAGAATTTGTGATAAGGCAGTTCTACCTAATTGTGTGTGCGTGTGTGTGTGTACATGCAGGAGTCGGTGGAGGACATGGGTCTGTATGAGGATGTTTCTGGTACAGACGGTACACCAGTGCAGGTAACAGTGACACCCACTGGCGTGTTTATGTAATGGCATTAGTTGATGAGGTGTTGTACCTTAGTGTTCTAGTCAGTGAGAGATGATTAGATGTCGGCACAGAATGCCCTTATTTTGATAAGCCTCTTTAATTTGTTGAGCCTAGGAAGGCAGCAAAGAGAGTCTAAACAATAATTTCATGCATTATGCTTGAACTAAGGCTTTAAATTAGAAACCTCAGCACTTAATTTAATTGCTGATGTAGTGATTATATTAGTCAACCCCGAATCACCCCCCTCTTTAATATGTGATCATTATGTGCTGTAAAATCAGGTATATTTAAGTGTTTAAAAGTACTTCACTTCTGGAGCTGATACTATTCTTGAGTTGATGTTAAATGGTCTAATCATAAGCAGTTGTACAAAAATTTTACTTAAACAATTTGCCTAAAATAGTCTTGTTTTGAATCAGACCTTTGAAGACTTCACTGTTTTCAAAACTATGTGCTACAGACACATTTTGGTCTGTACCAATAAAAGTATTGCTACTTCATAATATATTCTGCAGGCTGGGAGTGCGTTTTCTGCCTTAAGTAAAGGAGTGTAAGTGTCTCGGGGTCTTGTTCAAGGGTGAGATTGACAGGTGGGTAGGGTAGGGGGCATCGTCAGCAGTAATGTGGACGTTGTACCAGACTGTCGTGGTGAAGAAGGGGCTGACCCGAAAGGCAAAGCTCTCAATTTACCAGTGAGCCTACTCTCCAACCCTCATCTATGGTCACAAGCTGTGGGTAGTGACTGAAAGAATAAGATCACGAATACAAGAGCCAAAAGGATTTTCCTTTTGTAGGGTGGCTGGACTTAGCCTTAGAGACAGGGTGCAGAGTTCAGACATCTGGGAGGGACTCAGAGTAGAACCGCTGCTCCTTCATATTGAAAGGAGCCAGTTGGGGCATCTTATCAGGACGGCTCAAGGGGGCCTCCCTGTGAAGGTCTTCGGGGCACGTCCATCTGGTAGAAGACCCATAACACCCTGGAGAGATTTTACATCTCATCTGGCCAGGGAACGCCTCGGAATCCTGTCATAGGAGCTGGAACATGTCACCAGGGAGAGGGACGTCTGGACTACCCCGCTGAAACTGCTGCCACCGCAACCCGACCCTGGATATGTGGAAGATGGATGGATGAGAGGATCTGTTACTGCCTTTATTCTCAAGGAAAGAAGGAAGAGGAATTAGTCACAGAGTAATGATATAAGATGAATGGTGTGTTAACAGTATAATGTTTGTGTCTCTGCAGCCTCAGTGCCAGGCTGTGCAGGATGTGGAGAGGGCAGTGAATCTGTTTGAGAGCACAGGAAGAATCTCTGCCACCGTCATGGAGGCCAGGTAACCTGCAGGGTATCAGGGTCCTTATAATGTGTTGACAGATTTTACTTTTGCTATTTTACTGTCCATCCTCTGTTGTTTCGCAGTATTTTCCGCAGACCTTATTTCCTGACACGATTCCTCCCCGCTCTGCTGACGCCGAGAGTGGTGAGCACCTTCACCTTACATTCGCACATAGACATGTGGGGGATGCCTCATAAAAAGATGTCACAAACCAGCACATCTTACATCTATACAAGTTCACTTGTCTTTCCATTCCAGCTTCCTGTGAAAGCCGGTGCTCGCATGGGTTTTATAGAAGCTTTGAAAAAGTGAGTAAGCCCGTAAGACGTGCATGCTCTGACTCTGCATCGTCAGTGCTAATGCATCTTTATGCTCCAGTGTTTAGAGAGTTGAAATAATATTATAGATGTAACTCTTTCGTGTATTTATTATCTACCAATGCTTATTGCCTTAAAAAATGTCATCATGGAGTTTGATTGCCTATCGGTACCAATAATAATCTTTGATAGTCTGATTGTGTGTTTTTTCTGTATTCAGAGCAGACAAGATCCCTGCTGCCCAGTATTCATCTTATGTGGAGTCTTGCCAGAGACAGAGACAGCAGGACAGTGGGTATCCTTTATAACCACATCAGCAAAGTTCAGAGATGTTTTCTTCTTTTTTCATTGTAAATTAGCAGATTTTCTAATACAGAGGAGAAAATATTCCACAAAGAGTAGATTTATCTGAAAAACCTGAGATTGGTAGGTTGCAGTGAGAATAGACCTCCGAACCTTGTCTACATGTGGACATGAATTTCTTAACTTTTTCCTAGTACTGTGGAGCAGTGGGCAACCCCAGAACATGTGGTGATGATTTGTAGGATCACCGGAATGAAGTGTCCTTCCCTATGAGTGTTCTTTGTGCTGGAGGTTTTGCAGAACCAGACTGTGGTCTTCCAAATGAATTCTCTCCAGGATAGATCACATGTACCTTTCCGTTGTTGTTTAAAACCCCATTTCTCCTTTATATATTTTCAAATCAAATCAAATCAAATATTATTTGTATAGCGCCAAATCACAACAAAAGTCATCTCAGGACACTTTACAAACTAAGGTCTAGACTTTACTGTTATCAATATTATTACATAGGGAAAACCCAACAAATCCCCCTTGGGCAAGCACTTGGCGACAGTGGGGAGGAAAGTTTTGAGATATTTCTATGACCTGGGTCTGAATTGTACCTCTGTAAGAAAACCTTCAAAATTCTCACTCATCTAAAACCTCTTTTTGTAACTGTTTTCTCAATGTAACGTCACAGTTACAAAATCCTTACTAGGTTGAGGACATAATCAAATAAGACACTAGCCAGACTGGACACTTTTTTCTTTATCATGACAAAGATTTAATCTTGACACTGTGTGCTGTGTGTTGACGTGCTGTATTTTCAGGTCGAGTGGTGTGCTTGGACACTAATGATGATCCTCTGGAGGTCCTGGAAGTTCAGCTGCAGAAGTTCACACAGCTGGTTGTTGATGGAAATGATGGAGGTAGGAGGACACATCACGCACAAACCCACATACATGGTGGATATTGTAGTCAGGGTAAAACTTAACTGTTGTGATTTGATGTTATGTTGGTAATGTTTTATGATATGCCAGCAGTTTCTTTGGCCTGTGATTGTAAGGACTGTTATATGAACTGCTTGGCCCCTAGTTTTTTTGGCTGTGGGAAGGATTGTGTAGACTTTTGTGATGCGTGTTTGAACCCCTTGTGTCACGTTGGTCATGTTTTCTCAGAGATGTCAGCTCAGCTGTCCAGGGTCTCGCACACACTGAGTGTCGTCCTGCCTGGTAGTCCTGATGAGCCGATTGAACCGACAGTCATCAAACTTCACATAGACACTCCTGTGTCCCCTGAACTGCATGTCAGAGTACGCCCTGATGGAAAGCATTGTCTTCTTTGTGTTCAAGTTGTATGGGTTGGGTGTATTTCTGTCACTGTGCATATATATTCATAACTGAGGCTCCTTCCCATATTTTCAGGTTGTCGACATGATATTGAGAAACTTCTGCCAGTGTGTGTTAGATGCTTCCCGAGCAAACCCTCCTAATAAGTGAGTGGCACAACTTTTTATTGAAAGTTTTTGAAATAGTAGAGGATGAATCTGATTATTGCCAGGAACTGAAAAAAAAATCACACATATGTACTGAGCAATACCTAGTGGCCATGTGTATATATCCACTGAACTAGAACCTCCAGATATTTGTTCTTATGGCTCTGCAGGCAAAGCCTATGGGCCTCCAGGTTTGTCAGCGTGCTGCATGGTAACTCACAGCTGCTCTCCAGCCTTGTACACCGACTCTGGGACCTATTTCACAACCAGGTACAGATTCATGTACACCTCTCTCTTTAAGTGTTTGTTGCTTTGTGTATGTTAACTCTTTACAAACCTCTTTTGTCCACAGGGGTCATTCTTGAGTTCTGTCCACTTGCTCGGTCTGGCAGCATTTGTGGTTCACCTCCATGCCTCCATGTCCCACAGTCCTCTGGTTCAGCTCGTCCCCCCCCTTCTGTCCAAACCAGTACCTGTTGGAGAGGTTCTTAGCTTAGCGCTGGACTGCAGCACACATGCTAACATGCTCTTCTGTGTCAGGTGAGGTTTTTTTTTGTTGGATAGTAAAAATGCATCAGTTAATTGGCGGAGATCAGCCAATCAGAGATCGAACCTTGCACCTCATGCAAGGATAACTCATGTCCATACCGGGCGGGCGTTCACTCGCACATTGGATGTGCTTGGTGTACGAAAAGTGAACAGAGGAACCTACAGAAGCACTTTGGAGAAGGGGAAACTACGTGTGAATCTCTGACAAATAGTACACAATGAAGGATTTACTGGCTACACTTTAAGCACGTGTATGTGCAGTGAGTCCACAGTAAAACACAGCAAACCACAGACTTTAAAAAGAACTGTGAGCTCGGTAGGACTGATGTAACAGACATTTTTCTGTTTCTGTTACCTGTTGCATATGTTTATATTTGGTAAAGTACAAATACTGCACTTAGTTGGAGGATTGTGAGAGAAAGAGGGAAAATGTGATACTTATTTAATGCTTTTTTTATCACAATTTAATTTTTCATTAAAGAAAAGTTACATGTTTGTCTATGCTGTCACATGTCTTAGAAGGAAACAAAATTGGGCTCTGCAGGTCAGGAAATCTGAATTGGCCGAGAAAATTGCAATCTGTGCATCTCTATTGGATATTAGCTACTCTAGAAGCTGTCTCGGATATTACGGTTGTGAGCGTTATGTTATGATGTTATTAACTGGAGATTTGCGTGTTTTCACTTATGTGTGATAATGGCCTCCAGCCTCACCAGAACTGTGACACATGGTCTTTTTGCTGTGCAGGCTGTGTGTGGCAGCAGTGTGTTATGGGATCTGTAAAGGAGACTCACTGCCTCCACAACAGCAGCAGGTCTACATCTTCAGTGGCCTCTATAAAAAGGTATCACTTCCTGTTACTTGCCATAATGTAGATTTTCATGTATTGTATTAAAATGCCATATGACTCATATCATTAAAGGGTTAGGCTAAATATTCCCACAATTTACTTGTGTAAAAGAAAAATTAAAGAAACAAGCCCATGGTGCTTTTCCTTGTTTCCTGACTCATCTACAATGTTACAATGGTGAATTATAATCTTAGATGTGATCTAAAGCTCAAAAAAATGAGGTGTACATACAGTAGGTTCTAGTAGAGAAGCAACTCGGTTTATACAAGTCACACAAACTCTCGCTCGTGAGACTTTTTTTTCCAGATAAATTAAGGATTTCCTTGAATGGTCACAATCTCCAGGCTGTTGCACATTCATGTGAACTTGCCTGACATCCACCGGTGCCATTGTAAAAGTGGAATTTTTCAACTGCACCTGGTTTTGTGGATATATTTTTCCCCCTGCTGCTGCACTGTTCCCAGCGGTGGTGGAGAAAAATCCAGGGCCTAAGGTTACTGCATGTCCAGGAATGTTCCCGTACAGGGACTCGTTTTACCTGACTGGGACTAACCTAGAAGCAGCCGGACAATGAAGCCCCCGGTGGTGGTGAATGATCAGCTCATCAACGCCGGATTCCACCGGAGCACAGTTTGTTCTGATTGCTTGAGGCCAGTGTGTCTGCTGTATGTGATGTGTTGCTGGTTAACCAGTGGATTAATGACCTCATGACATTATTGTTGGCGCTACGCTACCCATTGGAAATCTGTGTGGTTGCCTGTAATGTGAGGGATTTGTGGAGATTAATTAATTAATTCTATAGTAATAATTTTAAATCAGTTGATTGGTTATAAAATGTAAAGCAACTGTGATATATGTACATAATTTCTCAGAATCTGAGGGAAGTTCTTCCAGCATTACATTGCGTCAGAGGTTTTAAACTCTGATGGTGACTTGATATACAGCAGCATCAAGGAGCAGATTCCCACATTTGAGGAGCTTGAGATGGTTCATTGTTTTTCCTTCATAAATGACTTACAAGATGACTAATTTATCAGCACTGTTGACATATACCACAAACCAAATGTTCAGCCTTCTACGTCCATAGATAAGTACCTCCAATGCTGCTCAAGAAAGAGGCAAGATCAAACAAACCTCTAGAAATGTTGATAGATGTCTTTTCATTTCAGTGAAGCACAGTTATCTCTCCCACTGTGTGGGAGGAGAGGGACCATGGGATCCACTTGGTACTGTTAGCTTCCTTGCATGTGTCTGCAAGTTTCTACCAATTAGCCTAACCTCTAGACCTCATAATCTTGCAATATAACGTAATCTCTGCATGTATTTGTGTCTGTGTCCAGCTTGTGTACCTCATCCCAAGGCTGTTGCCTGAAGCCAGAAGAACTCCCATCTCTGCTGAGGGTTTGGGGGATGGACACCAGGAGCAGAACCTGCCCGGCCTGTGGAGCAGTGCCACAAACACCAACGGCACCTGGAGGAAGGCTGCTTGGTCTTTGTGGAGGCATGCTGCTTTCCGCCAGCTAGAACACACATCACAGTATCGGGTAAGATGGAGATGGTCATTTGTGTTGAGTGATGCAAATGTAGAATATGTGCGAGACAGTCCAGTATGTTCTGTGAGCATCAGAGGGGATGGATCTTATTGACAACAGAAAATCCTTAACCTTTGTTATGCTTGTGAAGTTGTTGTTCTCAGAATGGCTGGTTAATGAGTTCAGAGTACAGAGAAGTGAAGATGCACTGACCGACCCAGAGCGGTAAGGCAGGAAACACACATACGCTCTCACAGGTGCCAGTAGACATAAAATAGATCAATACAATCTGTAACTCTGTGTGTAGTCAGGAGTACCAGCAGTGGGCCTGCTTGGAGCTGTACTTGCCTCGTCCCGAGGAGCAGGGCGGCTGTGGAGGAGACATGAAGAGCCTCTGTTCTCATCTCCTCGGTGCCATCATGGACCAGCAGCTAACGTAGGGGTGCATGTTCATGAAATCAGTGTCGGTGGTTTAACAGAATTAGTGCATATAGTCAGTTTAGAAAAGACTTCAAGTTATAATAGTGTGTCTGGTCGTTTCCATAGAAAACCTGCAAAAGGTTAGCATCAGTGACACCTGAGGCAAATGCAGTGTAGTGTTACAGTCCAGAAAGTATTCACAGCGCTTACCTTTTTCCACATTTTGTTAGGTTAGGTCATCAAGGAAGTGTCTGTATAATGCTGCAGTCATCGTTCCCCTCGATCCTGACTAGTCTCCAGACATTTTTCTGTTTTGGTTACCTGTTCCTGCTGCTGAAAAACATCCCCACAGCATGATACTGCCACCACCATGTTTCACTGTAGGGATGGTGTTGGCCAGGTGGTGAGTGGTGCCTGGTTTCTTCCAGACATGACGCTTGGCATTCAGGCCAGAGAGTTCAATCTTTGTTTCATCAGACCAGAGAGCTTTGTTTCTCGTGGTCTGAGAGTCCTTCAGGTGCCTTTTACTGAGGAGTGGTTCCGTCTGGCCTCTCTACCATACAGGCCTGATTGGTGGAGTGCTGCAGTGATAGTTGTGCTTCTGGAAGGTTCTCCTCTCTCCACAGAGAAATGCTGGAGCTCTTTCAGAGTGACCATCGGGTTCTTGGTCACCTCCCTGACTAAGGCTCTTCTCTCTCGACAGCTCAGTTTGGCTGGGCGGCCAGCTCTAGGAAGAGTCCTGGTGGTTCCAAACTTCTTCCATTTACTTGGTTTGTGCTCTGACATGCACTGTTACCTGTGGGACCTTATATAGACAGGTGTATGCCTTTCCAAATCATGTCCAATCAACTGAATTTCCCACAGGTGGACTCCAATCAAGTTGTAGAAACATCTCAAGGATGATCAGTGGAAACAGGATGTACCAGAGCTCAATTTTGAGTGTCATGGCAAACGCTGTGAATGCTTATGTACATGTGATTTTTTTTTTTTTTTTTTTTTTTTGAAAAGTTTTCAAAAAAACCTGCACGTTGTCATTATGAGGTATTGTTTGTAGAATTTTGAGGATAATAATGAATTTAATCCATTTTGGAATAAGGCTGGAACATAAGATGTGGAAAAACTTGAGTGCTGTGAATCCTTTCTGGATGCACTGTAAGCACACAAAAAGAACATGACAGTCTTTACTCACCAGGTATTTAAATCTGCTGTTACTTGTGTTGTAAGTGTTCTGACATCAGCAGTTATAGTCTCCATTGCTGAGACTGTGCCAATATAGTCTGTGCTCGTTGGTTGAGTCCCCGGCTCTTCCTGTCCACATGTCGGTGTCCCTGGGCAAGACACTGAGCCCCACTTTCCTCCACTTGCACTTGTGTGAGTAGATGTGTGAACTAGTGAGTGAGGGGTAAATTGTAAAGTCCTTTGTCAGCTAAGATAGAAGATGCCAAGTGCAGTCCATTTAAAATTGATCTAATAACTAAAAATGGGTGTTTTGAAACTTTGCCCTTAACTAACAGGAATACTGCACGTTATTCAAATCTGCTCTTTAATTTTGAAAGTGTTGTCAATTCAGTGTGCAAAGTGGGCACAAAAACTAAAAATGCCTCCAACACAACTTAAGAACAACACACACAGGATGTAGAAAACAAAGCTCATACTGCCTGTGTTTGATAAAAGTGTTGAAGACGCTTCATGAGAACTTCCCTTGTAGTCCCAGGTGATGTCAACACAGCAGACGTGACTCCACTCTTGTGTAGCACATTTAATACGAGGGCAGCGTGTAGGGCCTGTGCCCTGCCTCGTTGCACCCGCTGTAATGAAAGTAAATGTGCACTGTTATTTGCATTTGATGTCAACAGTAACCAGAGCTTGGACAAGCCAGATCACAGAGTGCCAGACACAGGGACCTGCCTGCCGGACATTCTCTCCAGATTACAGGTGTGTGTACACCATACACTCTGTCAGTTCAACTGACACAGGTGAAAACACTTTGTGTCATTCATGGAGAGCCAAGTTACAAAAACCTTCAGGACGGTGATGTGTGAGCTTGAAGCACCCCCAAAAACCTAAGTTATGTTTGTAGGAGGTTGTCTATGAGATGGAGGTGACCGACGGCTGGAAAGGCCGAACTGATGCGTGTGACTTCCTGTTCGAGCTGCTGTCTCAGAGATGCTCCTCTGGAGTGAGCTCAGCTGCGCCGAGTGTCAGCTCCGAGCTCAGCCTGCAGCACACAGTGAACACCTGGAACAGGTAGGCACACACACACAAACCATGTGGATCATCTCTGTCACTTAGTGTTCAGTGAAACCCTTCTGTACGTGTGTGTGTGTCAGAGTGCTGCTAGCGCTCCCAGCAGTGCTGTTCGTTAAGGTGAAGGCTGAAGGAGGGAGGTGCACTCTGGACTGTACCAAGCTAATAGAACATATCAACCAGCATCAGGTGAGCTGCTCAGTTCTTCTTCTGATCTGATGTCTTTCTCTCCCATATCTGCTCAGCTGTTTGGAAAAGTGCAGTGTGTGTGTGAGGAATGAACTTAACAGTGCTCATATCTGTCTGTTTCTGTCTTGTCCTTCGTGCATCAGAGGAAAGTGTGTTCTCCAGCTGGAGTGCTGTCCTGCCATGTTACTGCACACTTCCTGAGAGTGAGAAGAGCTTCACTACAATCTCAACATCTCTTGTCTTACTGTTTCTCATCGAGCTCTGGTGAGAATATCTGCTGACTGCATTTCCTCTGCAGGGGATGTTATGTGCCAGTGCACAGTGCAGCTGCCCCAGGGAAGGATTCAACCAGGCCTGGTCTGAGATCAGTCTCTGCTGTCCTCTGCTGCTGACCTCCACAGTGGTACTGTCTGTTCTCCATACACGTAACTTTTTTTCTTAACTTTCTCATGCTCACATTCAGTCCTGTGCACTTGGATTCATGCTTATGGAGGCCAGACGCTGCTGCTTTTGGATGGACCTTCTGCAAGGAGCGGACTGTGACATGTCACAGAAGGAAAGGCACAGCTGTAAATAAGATGGTGCTATAGCTTCAGGGTCCTCCTCTTACAGGCTGGTTCACTTGGATAGAACTGAGCCATCGCTGATGTTATTAGTAACACCTGTGCTTTTGCTGCTCTGACCAGGTAAAGTTTTCCCCAGAGCCAGTATTAAGGTGCTTCATGTTGCTAAATGCACCTGTGCCACTGCCTTTTTCTGTGATTAAGACGTAAAGACTCACTCTGGAAGGTTTCTAAGAAAAATAAAACAACAGTTTCAAAAGTGGAATTTTTAATTGTTGTGCAGAATGTCAGTGACTTGGTAAGAGGGTGAAAGGTCATGCATTTAGAAAATGCCATATCAACACAATATAGCAATAACATGGCTTCAGGATTAAATTAAGTTCTCCCAGACAAGAAATCATTAAATCAGTACTAATAGAGATCTCTTACATGTTTTGTGCTGTGAATAATTTTGTGTGTGCATAGCACTGGTGGGAGCATCTGTCTCCAGTCCTGTTGACACTGTGGAGTCGTCTGTGTGATGAAGAGCCTCTGCCAGAGCATCTGCAGCTCCTCACTGAGGCTCTGCACTGGGCGCACAGGTGAGACTGTGACTGTGCGACCCGCCTCCCTCAACGCCACTGCTGCAACATCTACAGTGTGTATGGAAAGTATTCAGACCCCCTTAAATTTTTCACTCTTTGTTATATTGCAGCCATATGCTAAAATCATTTAAGTTCATTTTTTTCCTCATTAATGTACACACAGCACCCCATATTGACAGAAAAACACAGATTTTTGGACATTTTTGCAGATTTATTAAAAAAGAAAAACTGAAATATCACATGGTCATAAGTATTCAGACCCTTTGCTGTGACACTCATATATTTAACTTAGGTACTGTCCATTTCTTCTGATCATCCCTGAGATGGTTCTACACCTTCATTTGAGTCCAGCTGTGTTTGATTATACTGATTGGACGTGATTAGAAAAGCCACACACCTGTCTATATAAGACCCTACAGCTCACAGAGCATGTCAGAGCAAATGAGAATCATGAGGTCAAAGAAATTGCCTGAAGAGCTCAGAGACTGAATTGTGGCAAGGCACAGATCTGGCCAAGGTTACAAAAAAAAATTCTGCTGCACTTAAGGTTCCTAAGAGCACAGTGGCCTCCATAATCCTTAAATGGAAGACGTTTGGGACGACCAGAACCCTTCCTAGAGCTGGCCGTCCGGCCAAACTGAGCTATCGGGGGAGAAGAGCCTTGGTGAGAGAGGTACAGAAGAACCCAAAGATGACTGTGGCTGAGCTCCAGAGATGCAGTCGGGAGATGGGAGAAAGTTGTAGAAAGTCAACCATCACTGCAGCCCCCCACCAGTCGGGGCTTTATGGCAGAGTGG